TAGCCTGGAAAAGACTTGAGGGGGGATCTTAGCAATGCTGACAAATAAAGGGTGAGTGTCAGGAGGATAGGGCCAGTCTCTTCTCAGTGGTGCTCTGTGAGAGGACAAGGGGCAATGGGCACAAACTGGAACAAAGGAAGTTCCATCTGAGCATGAGGAAACACTACTTTGAGGGTGACAGAGCACTGGAACAGGCTTCCCAGGGCAGTTGTGGAGTTCTCTGGAGACATTCAAAACCCACTTGGATGCAACTCTGTGTCAAGGTGAACCTGCTTTAGCAGTGGGTTTGGACTAGATGATCTCCAGAGGTCCCTTTCAACCCCTACTGTTCAGTGGTTCTGTAAACATCTAATTAATCTGTGCAAAACAATTCCAACTGACAGTGCAAAGCAGAGGCTGGTTTTCTCTTGACTTGACTGACTTTAAGACTCAAGATAAAAAAAGGAAATTCTGAAGTGGAAAAGGATGCAAACTGTTTAATATCAGGAACCAGCACCTCCCAGACTGTTTCAAGGGAAACAGCATTAACAAAGTCAGTTGCTTCTGCTTAATTTGGACAGCAGAAAAAGACTTGACTATTTCAGGACTCTCTCCTATGATCACAGTTTTGTCTGCCTCCCATTTCTGACTTTAAGAGTGGTGACCCTACAGAAGATTCCTTCTAGACAGATCAAGAGTATCAGCACCTCCCTCAGACATTCACTGCCCTGTGTAGCAAAGCATCCCCTGTTCTGTGCAGGGATTACAAAGTTGTTCCACAGCCTCAGTGTGGCTCAGACATACCCTTCTGAAGAGCTGCATCAGACTCCTGCAGTAAACCACCACATTTTTCATGTGATGAAGATGGTCCCAGTTCCTGTAACTTCCATAGTGGGGTGGTGGTTCACCATCACGCCCAGTATGAGTTCTAGGGTCTGATTCTAGAAAGATAACATTCCTTGAACTCATGCATAAGTTATTATTCCAATTTCCATCTTGCAAAAGCAGAAAGTTGTCGAGAACTGCTGCAGAATCATGGGAAGCAGGAACTCCCTGCAGCTGAAAGGCAGCATTAACTACAGCCAATCTTTAACTACAGCCTTGGCTTACATTTGTCTGGTGTATTCTGAGAGACTCTCCCAGTCAAGGGCTTCACTCATTTCCACACGTAAAATACTCCAGTATTCTATGCAGGCAACCTCATTTTGCATTCCTCTCGTTTACCTCTATTTCCTGACAAACACGGAAAGGGAGAACATGCATCTTCCTTTTTGTAACCATCTTGTATGGCTTTTGGAAAGCGCTCTTTATGGTACTTTCTCTTCAGGCAGACCTATTTCTTCAGTCTTTCCTTGCAGTTATTCTGGAGCTTTGACTATCTGGCAGCCCTCTCCTCAGCTCATGGGCATCCCTTGAATAAGCTCTGCCAGTTACACGTATGTCCTTCGTTTGCTACAAGAAAGTCAAAGTACTTTGTGCGTTGTTAGTTAAGACCTTAAATGCATGACATGAAGAGAACCTAGAAAGTGCCCTGCTCTCCAGAGCACTTCCGAAGAGAAGGCAGTTAGTAAGCTTAGAAGGTAACACAGGACTAAAATTAAACATCCATTTTTGGATGAGGCAATTTGGGAGAACCTAACAGGAAACATGTGCCTCAATCTGGGTGTTTCTGTGGGGAATGGTAAGGCTTCAGCCTCACAGTGTGCCTTCACAGAGCACCAGTTTCATGACATTTACACTCCTCCTTGGGATGCAATCCTACAAGCAGAAAATACAAGGTAAGGGCACTGCACAGAGGATGACAGGAAACATGCAGAAGTGCAATTTGTTTGGGAAGTTGCAGGATCCTTTCTTCTACATACAGGCACCCGCTTTATTCCAAGGATCTTTGTTGTGTCCAAGTATAAAAAGTCAAGGTCAAAAGACATTCTATAAGCAGTGTAAGAAACAGCTCCTGATTCTTGTCTGTGCACTATGTCATGGTAACTGCAGGTAAGTGTTAAATGCTGCCCAAGACGACAAAACAAAAGATGAAACACCATCTTGAGCTGCAAATTAGACTCCTTTTATTAAACGTTAACTATACATTTGTATCTTTCAAAAATATTTTAACCTGAACAATAACTGACAGGTACAATCAACTATTTAAGACATCCTCCCTTTCAGATTCATGCATTTTTTTTCCCCATTAGTCTTTCCATCTAAAAATATTAAGCCAAAAATTTGGGAGGATTATAATTTTCTGACAGTCTTTTCCTTTACTCTTAAACATCTATCACACTTGAAAAATGTACAGGCATACTGTATGTTATTAGACAAAGAACTTCAAAGCAATGGAGTTCTGAACATGAAAACTGTAAGGACATTGGCTTTTTTCATTTTAAGGAAAAAATTAAAAAAATTCTACCTGAGAAATTACCCCTTATGATGTAACATTTACTTTACCGAGTAAACAGCATGACAGGTTTTTACATCTCTCTTCTTAATTAGGCAAAGCTAAAGAAGTTACCACTCCAATTGACGAGATAGCATGACAAGCTATTGCCAGAAGCTAAATAATTTACTTCAGTTCTTCAGTGGCAGGAGACTGCTGGAACCAAAAAGGATTGGCAGGAGACAACAAGCAGCATTCTCCAGGACAAAAAAGCAGGAATCCCCAGACCACATCTGGAGTAGCACAGAAGTAGGACTGCCTTGTGGCTGTAGCTATTTCATCTCTCCAGAACTGTACACATCTGTCTGTGGGTAGGGAGGCTCTACAGAGGGACTTAGACAGACTAGATTGATGGGCCGAGGTCAATAGTATGAAGTTCAACAAGACCAAATGCTGGGTCCTGCACTTGGACCACAACAACCCCAGGCAATGCTACAGGCCTGGGGAAGAGTGGCTGGAAAGTTGTCCAGCAGAAAGGGACCTTGGGGATCTGATTGACAGGCAGCTGAATATGAGGCAGCAGTGTGCCCAGGTGGCCAAAAAGGCAAATGGCACCCTGGCCTGTTTAGAAATAGTGTGGCCAGCAGGACCAGGAAGGTGACCGTGCCTCTTGTACTCAGCATTGGTGAGGCCACACATCAAATACTTTATCCAGTTTTGGGCACCTCAATACAAGAAGGACATGGAGGTGCTGGAGTGTGTCCAAAGGGCAGTGAAGCGGGTGAAGGGCCTTGAGAACAAGTCTTATGAGGAGCAGCTGAGGGAACTGGGGCTGTTTAGACTGCAGGAGGCTGAGGGGAGACCAGGAGACCTCATCACAACTGCCTAAAAGCATGTTGTAAAGAGGTAGGCACTGGTCTCTTCTCACAAGTAACTGGTAACAGAACAAGAGGAAATGGCCTCAAGCTGTGCCAGGGGAGGTTTAGACTAGACATGAGGAAGAACTTTCCCACTGAAAGGGTTGTCAGACATGGGAACACGCTGCCCAGGGAGGTGGCTGAGTCACCATCCCTGGATTGGTTTAGAAATCGTCTAGATTTGTCTATTGGGAATATGGCTTAGTGCTGGACTTGGTAGAGCAGGGTTAATGGTTGGACTTGATGATCTTGAAGGTCTTTTCCAACCTAAGTGATTCTAGGATTACACAGCTGACAACTGCAGATCACCAGGATGCAGACACAGACCCAACCTACCTCTCTACCCAGGGAAAGGTGGAAGAGCCATGACACACAGATACTCTTTCTGCTTTAGCAAGGAAAGAGCAGATACAGGTTTGCTACAAGTAAACATGAGCTCCATTCAGTACCTGGAACCTGGTTAACAAGAACTCCTGGTCTGTACTGTACACTATAGTTGCAACCCACTAGCAGCCTAGTACCCTTGTCTGCCCTGCATAGGACTGGAAAAAACTTGGAAAAGCATGCTCATACAAAAGCTATTATCCCTCTCCAAAATACGGAAGAACTCTTACTTCGCTGACCAAAAGCACAAGCAGCAGCAGGAGGGAGCTATCAGGCATCCACTCTCTTCCCATCCAAAACCTAGTATTACACTCACTTGCAGTTTGATGAGTTTGATACTGCCAATTTGATGGAACAGTTGGTGTATGTACACACTTCTACTTAGTCTTAGAGAAAAGAGCTGCAATTCTCTGAGATCTCTTTTCTGTGAGCCCCTGTTAAACAGAAAGCTAACAATACTGGCATTTCTACCTACTTGTTAGAAAGCAGGGACAGCTGTAATACTCTAAAATCTGCTCAACACTCTTAAATGGAGAAGTGGGCACAAAAACCCAGAATATTTACTTCTTTATGGGAAAGATATCTGTGCAGCATACACCTTCATGCTCTTAAAAAAGAAAGGAAAAGGAAAAAAAGCAGGTAACATTCCCTGTCACAAATGCCTGTAGTGGTGATGGCTCATGGAAAATCCAACTACTGTTTGATAGTGTCTGGTGCAGATAGCTAGTTACTCCTTCCATTCACTTAGCATTATGCCATTACCAAATACCTGCTACATGTAAACAGGTGGGTGACACAGGTTCTGTGTCACAGAAACATTCCACTCCCAAGAGCAACCTGGTGCGTATCACAGGGTTGTACCAATCTGCAATCAAGCACATCTCAGGTACTCATAACTCTGATGTTTAAAATTTGAACTTTTCACAGCATCTCCTCTGAGGGAAGAGGAACTACTCTGGCATTTTTCCATCCTATCCCTCTCTTAAGTTTGAGAAGTGAGCAGTCCCAAGGTTTTGGTGCTCCCAGGAAAGTTTAAGCCACCTGGCTGCTGTTTACTCTTAAACTGCCCATGCTTACTGCAACATTTCCTCTCTATTCCCTTTGTGCAGCTTTTCTTTCAGCTTCCCTTCTCTTCAGTTGCTTTTAGTCTTCTCCTTTAACTACCTGGAAAATGCAGGATGAAGATGAAAAAAATACCTGTTAAGCAAAAAAGAAAAAAAAAGGGAAATGTCTCCTTAGGAAACAGGAATTTACAAAAGGTATGGAAGTTGATGTCTTTGCGAAATAGGAAAACACAAACTGACAGTTTCAAATAAAGCTGGTGTGCCCAGCTAGAAGTCAGGTGGTCAGTAGACTTGAATGACATCATCCCACTCATCAACAGGCCAGACACCATTGTAGTGCACATTGGGTGGGGAGCTCTTCCAGTCCCACGTCTTCACAGGAACCTTCCAATCCGAGCCATAGTTGGCTTCAACATACTGAAGGGTTTCACAGGGCACATGTACCTTGAGTTCTACAAATTCAGTCCAGCACAGAGTAAACTTTGGAAACAGATACCTGTGTCACAACAAAAACACACGGTCACTGGCAGAAGACTGACATACATCTCTAAGTAAGTTCACAGAGAAAGCAAACAACTGCAGCAAGTTCATTTAACTTCAAGTAAGTCACATTTAACTTCTTATTTATTTATTTATTTATTTATATTTCATAGCTTTCTATCTATGAGTTATGATTTACATACTGGACAGGGATGTTTTTAGAAACAGTAATTTGTCACATGTTCTTAGGAAGGAGCATTTCTAGTTCCTTTGCTGCTTATTCTCATCTTTCTCTGCCACCTATAGAAAATAACTTATTCCTTGTCTCTACCTTGCCAATTACAAACTGGATTTGACAGTTACCTCACTTAGAAGGGTGTCAAGAGGACGTTACATGTTATTTGGCAGGGAAGATTTTGACAAAAGCAGCACTAAGTACTTTATTACGAGTCAGGGCTTTCTTGAAAACAAGTTTTTACCTTCTTCAATCTTACCAGAGCAAGCACGTACTTCCCTTCCATACCCATGTTTAAATATGGTGTCAGACCCGGAGCAGCTGCAAAGAATTAAGATACAGCTTCCACCCTCTACTTCCTGAAACCATCTCAGCCCATTCAAATTCTGTAAATAATTTATTTTACCAATCCAACCTTGTTCTGTACCTGCTGCTTTCTGTAGGTTAGCCAACACAAGCCCTGCCTATATACTGGCATATACTGACATAAGGTAGGTAAATTTCACAACATCCTATAGGAGCACAGTGTCAAGAGTGATTGTGTTAAACAAGTAAATACCAAAGCCTACATGCTATTCCTGCAGAGGATCACCCCCACTTCCTAAGCTGTGATGTCTTCCATGGAAAAAAAGTAACCTTAAAATTCCTTTTCACAGGTTAAAATTAAACCATAGGCACTCAGGCCTTTTGAAACAGAAGGTTAAAAGATTTCTGCAGTGCATAAATTATAAACCACACCTGTTCCCCTAAGCATAAAGTTAATTTTACTTCTAGGGGCCGAGCGGACAGTCTTAGAAAATAAAACAACCTTGCTTTTTTGCCTTAAATGGAAGGAGAGAAAAAAAGTCATCACACACTTTTGGATACATACCCAGAGACTACTGATTAGCACTAAATTAAACCAAAAATCTAAAAAAATGGTAGCTATCAAGGTGGGAGGGGGAGGAAGGAAAAAAAAAAAAAAAAGGAGGTAAAGAAGCTTTATTTGTGGATCTATAATCATCAAGATATTATTCATCCATCTGAACTGTAGTGGGCATGCACACACAAAAGCTATCAGCAAACCACTGAAATAATGTATGTCCAGAGAGTGAACTCTGAATAGTAATGCTAAGGAGAATTTAACTAATTTGCAAGTTAAGAAGTTGTTGGTAATTTCACCAAAATAATTATTTAACTATTATTAAAACCAAATGTTTACACTCACTCATGAAAAATGTAGCATTTGGTGACACTTTGTCATTTGCTCATTCCAAGGGGCTGGAATAAAGTTACATTCTCTTGTACTTACTCACTGCTCACGATTATTTTGTGCAATTCCAGTCTCATCAATATTTGAAGATAAAAGTACTGAAAAGATTTTACACTTACACAAAGTCCGCTATGGTAAGAACCTATAGAATTAACTCATTTTAAAGATTCAAGCACACAGTATAGATTTGGTTCCTAAATTCAGGTTTTTAAAATATTTATTCTCTGCTGAAGAAGGCAATTGTAAAGCCTTAAATTGTTTTAAGCAAAAAGGAGGCCTCAACTGCTGTAACTCCAAGACAAGGTAAGGAGGATGTACATGCTGGTTGTGCCTGCAATGCTGAGGATGTATTTGTGTGCATGAAAATGCAAACCATGCAGCCAGAACTGTAAGGTTTAGAAACCAGCTCTCCAAGGCAACAGAGACTAAAAATTACTGTCAAAAATATTTTTGAGATAAATGCTTACATTCTTCATACTTTTATTTAGCAAGATGTGTAGAATGTATGCCTGTGCATATATTCAGGTTTCTAAAGAAAATGTTTTTTACCCTTAATCTTAAAAAACATAATTAACTTGGGAACAGATCTTCCACATTTATCTGTGATGATCCAGTAGCAACCAGTATCTCTTGTGGGTACCACATATGAGATTCTTTCAAAATTGTTAAAGAGGATTTAGGATTCATCATGATCACACAATCACCTCTCTTTTGACTGACCTTCTTCCGACCGTTCAGGTCAAGCATGCTCAGTCATCACCTCTCACAGTTAAAAAGCTGTGATCTGTTTTCTCTTTCTGAGAAGGTACCTGAATAAAACATATCTGGAATTATTTGGCTAAGCATCCTGAACTGCCATGTTCTCTCAGGGCCTTTATAATGGTAAAACAAAGCAGTTTTCTTGCTTCTTTTCTGTATGGATTAAGTACAGTGAGCCAATCCTAAGAAACACCAGTTCAGAATTAGAGGCTTCCTTATGCCACAATCTCATAGGAAATAAATTCTTACTGATCCAGAAAGCCATGTTTGTGTACTTTGAAAAAAGCTACCACCAAAAATAAGTACTAGGCTACAAGAAAATGAAAGTGTTTTATGAAATCTGGAGTTCCAAAAGACCTGTAATATCCTAGGATACAGGAGCAGAAGCACAGTACAGGTTCACATCTACCTTCTGTTCTCATGCCTTAGACCAGTTCTACCAAAGGGGGGAAAACCAGCTCTCAGGTACCCCAGGTCTGATGCTACAATGGGATTTTGGAAGAGCATGTCAACTCCACTGGCATGGAAACAGATACTGCAATTTATACACAACAGGAGCTAGAAGAAAAGGCAAAGAATTTACTGGCCAGCTTCCTCCCCAGAATACATCACAGAAAATCCTTCAAAATCTTGTACAGAAAACCAGACATCAAGCCCACTTTGGAAAAGTATGCAATTGTTGCTGTATTACTGCTGAAAAATACTCTGAAACATATCATTTTCTGCAGGAATATTCCAAAAGCTCTTCCTATTTCTAAGTGTGCCTTTTGACTCTGGTTATCAAAATAATTTCCCCAAGCTTTCTTTATCACTTCAGAACAAAGATAACTAAGACAGGATTCAGACATTAACACCACCTAGATGACAGTGCTCACTAAGTTCCATTAGTCAAATATAAGCAAATACGGTTCAGGCAAAATATGAAAGATAATTAAAACCTATAGAAGTCAGCAAGGGTTTCAACTAGTCTGCAACTGTCTTTTTCTGACTAAAGGTGGATGATGGAAAGAAACAAATCTAGTTATCAAAATCTATAGTGTTTGCTGAGTAGATTAGGAAGCTGTTATACTTACTTGATGATTTAATACTGAAAGGTATGAAACAAGAAGGTGGACTCCTATTTAAAATTCCATTTTCAGAACACAAACACCAAGGTCTGCAGTAGTTATCTATGCTGCTGTCACAACATTTGAAGTCAATAAAGTATTCCACATCATTAAGACAAAATCCAATCCTATAAGGTTTACTTTGCAAGGACAGTTGAGCTTTCTGCCATAACGCTCAGTCATCAAGACAGATGCCTAAGGATTAATTTCTTACTGCAAAATTAGTTTGTGCAGCAAACATAGCTTCAGAGACTTCTTTCTTATCTTAGCTGTTTATTTAACTCAGAGTTTGTCACAGTCCAGATAAATTCTGCTTGATACATGATGTGCCAGCATTGCTTTCAACATAAAAGCATGACAAAATTCGTGACAACCTCATGACTGAACTGACATTTAACAAGCCCAGCATCTCTCCAGTAAGTACTGTTCTCTATTTCTCCAGTCTCAAAGTGCAAAATCTCCACTGCTTTTCCTCTGACAACTGCCTTTCCCCCCAAAATGCATAGACTTTGCTAGACAACAGCACACAAAATGCCAAAACTAAACACTAACTTGTTTAATTTCTTTCCTACTAGAGGTACAAATTCAGTTCATACTTAAATTTCTTGCCCGATTTGGCCTGAGTTCCTCCATTCCATATGTGGTCATCCTCTTCATAGAAGAAAAAAATATCAAGTTTCACACCATCTTCTCCCTGGAAAGAGAGTTCCAAGCTGTCTTCTACCTGTAACACAAGAATACACACTGTATATCCTCACAAAAATAGAAGCGTAATAATGTCTGCAGGTTTCAGGAAACAAATGTGTTCTGGTCAGGTATGCAGAGTGACTCCTATCCTAAACTGCAGAAAATCCACTATCACTGGTATCGCTGGTTTGGGGTGGTTATTTGGTGTTTTGAGAACACTGGAAGTTTTTTGCACCACAGTGGGACTACCATCTTGTTCCTCTTTTGCTTCACAAGCTTCAGCACCATTTCCCTGTCCTCTACCACAAGCAAAATAACCTCAGTGAACAGACACATGATTAGTAGATGTTTTCATTTAACATGCTTCCTCTATCATAAAACACTCACCGGAACAATAAATCACCTGCAGTGCAGCTGAAATTTCATATTCCTGTAATTTACTTCTGTTCACTATCATTATGCAGCCTACCCTCTAAAAATGCTAAATAAAGATCTATATAAGCTAACAATGAACAACCCAATGCCCACCTCAAGCCATCTTTCCCTTTCTGCTAGTTTTACATACAGGAATACAGATAATCTCAGAGCTATCACCAATCCTTCCATATTATGAGGCCCACCCAACCTCGTAAGACTAAGTTCTACCTTGATTCTTCAGTTACCCTAAATACCACTGACACAGCTTATACCTCTTTAAAAACTTACTAAAAACGTCTTCCTAGATGGAACTCAGACTCCCCAAACAGGGTAGAAGCCATTCAGAAGGGTTATTTTCTCACACACAGTCCAAGAGAACACACAAGAATCAGTAAGATTATATGGTTAGGTAAAACCATAATAAGTAAGTATCTGCCACGGAGGCTTCAGATACCATTCTACCTAAGGAATCTGTAGCTGTACTAAACTTGCAAGCCTACAAAAAACCACATGAATCAAATTGCTCATTATCTATGTACCTTGCCAAATTTGTGCTTCAGTGATAACCCTGCTTTCTGAAAGGCTGGAATGATATCTGCTTTGTAGTCTCTTATGAAGACTCCCAAATCCACATCTTTGCTGTGAGGAATGACATTGCACTGTCTGTACCAGCCTGAGGAAATAAAAAAAAAAAAATTAAAAAGAAAGGAAAGAAACAACCTAGTTAATTCAGGAGAATGAGAAAGATATCAGTAGAAAAAAAGGAACACAAAAATGGACTGTCATAAGGTCACTAGGCAGAAATCTTCGAATGAGGCCATAAACAAGATTTCTGCCTTTGTACAGTACAAAATGAACAAATATTGAAGAAAACAAATCCTACTGCACTCACAGACAGCCCTTTCCTCCAGAAAGCCAAAGCATGAGAGAGAAAACACCCTTTTAAAGATATCTTCAGTTGCCTAATCTAAATGTCCATATAGAAAAAATATTCTTCACCTGGGCCCAAATCTAACAGTATAATCAATGAACAGTTACTACAGCTGTGCTTTTACTTTGAAACTATTCTTTTAAATAGTATCTGAGACAGTAATCATCTTTCCATCACTACTGCAAAACACTAAGACAGGAAGTGGGACATGCTTTTGTCTGTTTCATTAAAGAAGCTTCTAGTAACTGTTCACTCAGAAAACTACATTCCCAAGGACTAAATAAATACAAATCAAATCTGCATACACATGAGTTTTCACAACCTGTTTCAACAACAAAAGAATCTTCACCAGCTATAAGATACTACTTCCATCTTCAGTAGAATTAAACATTTACAGTACCTACTCTCCTAGGCCGGTATTTTATAAAAAAGATGTGTTGTAGATAAATAAACTGTATTTTTTAAGTCAGTGATCAGCACCAAATTGCAAAGGAAGAAAAATCAGATAAGAGTTTACATGGACAGCAGAAATATGTGCCAATCACTGTGTTTTCCAAAGTGCATTTCGGTAAATTCCAAGTCACACAGCTTAGGGAACTGCCAATTGCTTTCTAAGCAGTGATCAATACAGCATGAACAACAACTTCAAAAGCTTCACTGGAAATTTGCTCAACATCTCCAAGGCCCAGGTTTCTGAAGAAAAAGCATTTTGTCAGTAGCAAAGAAGGCCTACTTCAAAACAGCTAATGCCATATTTTACCTCCCAACCTAGTACATGTAACCTGAGCTGACATCACAAGCAATAGAGGACGAAATGTTTAAAATTTAGAATTAGTTTAAAAATGCAACATAACACAAATGTTTTACCAAGGCATGTTCCACTGCTCAGCCAGAACTTTACTCCCAAGTTATTCAGTGTCAGGACAGCCATATGGAGCAAGGATTTTGCTTTTTTTCTGAATTCCACTGCATCAAGAGAGGCATCATCAGGGTACAGCTGGAAGGCAAAGGAAGAGCAAGTCACTGACAGAGAGAAAACTTTTCCCTTTATTTTTCAATGTTCTAAGAAAAAAATACCATTAAAAATTTACTTCACTGATATCTGGGTAGTACCTATCTTCACAGAGACAGCCCAGTTTGAGAACATGCACTACAATAACAAATTAGCATTTAATCTCTGAAGCATCAATTTTCAGATTTTCCAACTGGCAGAATGTGAAGTCATAGTAAAACAGAGTAAGAATATAGGTATTAGGCTCTGATTCTCAGCACTTGGCAACAACACAGGTGAATCCCCAGATCTGCACAGGCTGAAGGCAATACCCAGGCTCCAGGGGGAAAACAGGGACAGAATCAGAGTCACTCCCAGCACATGAGTTTATTGGGCGCCACCAAGTGTTACAACTGGATGCCGACAAGTTCTACCACAGCATTAGAAACAAGTGGGAGCAGAAAATCGTGCCCATCTTCCATCTACAACTGTGGCAAGGTCTTCTGCTAATGCAAACCCCGAACCAACGCGGCACCCTGGGCAAACAGCACCGACTCAAAGAGGCACAATGCACCACTTATGCACTCTGGGGAAACTTCACGAATTACTTCATTATGCACTCTGGGGAAACAAACAGCTGAAATTAACTTTTCACCATGGATGCCAGCTGCTTATTTCAATATTAAAGCCGGAGCAAATCTCAATAAACCTCCCACAGCACGTTTTCTCTGCCTGTGGTGATTACTGTCTGGAGGTGTCAGAGCTCAAGTGGAGCATGCTTACAATTTCTGTCCTTCACAGGTGAAGTGACAACATACTGATTGGTACCCTTGGATACAGCAACTGTTACATGCATGGGGAGCTATGACCTACTAGACTGAATAAGGATGGACTTCCCTTCCCTGAGAAGTTCCTTCCCAAAGACCTCACATGACTCAAGAACAGAACCTCTAGTGTCCCCCCTTTTTTTCCCTGCCTTTCATGGAATCAGAGGTGGCTCAAATTCAATGAACTGACTCAACAATCCTAACTGTGGTAACACTCAACCACTTTATATTTCAGTCCTTTTCAAGTTAGGAAAAAATGCTCCCCATACTCCAGCAGGAAAAACTTCTACTATCTGTTTAATCAGGTAGCAATGTTTTAAAAATAATTCTCAAAAAACCATTAGTTTACATGGTCAAAAAGAAATGAAGTAAAAAAAAATTGGAATGACCGTATCATTTCAAATAAAACAAAGTGGGAACATGGAACTGCAGTACATGGTTCAAAATAATATAAAATTAAATATTACTAAAAACTTTGAGACTTGCCATAAGGAAAACTTACAATCACAAAGATACACAAGATCTTAGTCTTTTACAGGAAATCTATTTAATAGCAACAATGTGTGTGAACTATGGACAAGCTGGTTATCTCTTCAAAGTTCTAGAAAACGGAAAAACAATGCACTCACAAATAATGAAGACATTCAGTTTTATTACCACCTACTAAACTCTGTGGATTAAGTCTCAGGGGCTGTATTTAGCTTTATGTATGCAAACAGTCCCACCTAGGTATAAAACAGTGAACTGTTCGTAGGTTGGGTGAATCAGTGGAAACATACATGACATCTCAGAGACACTACCCGATCACCACTGACCTGAAAGAAAGCCCGAGCTTCTCTGTACCTACATTCAAGAAACCTAGACTGTGACATCTCCTCTAGAAAACTGGACGGATTTTTTGGAATATGAACTTTTAAGTCATCAATGGAAACAAGCTGAAGTTCTGGCCTGCGGGGAATGAAAGAGGATACATTACACCATTCAATTCTTTACAAACCACAAGCCACTTTTTCCTCTAGCTCAGGTTAAAATCTTAATCCACACTAGTGGCAGTGATTTCTCTGTTCAAATACACCCAAATGAAAGTGAAGAACTTCAACAAACACCTTATACACTTTTTTTTTTTTTTTTAAATTAAATTCTATGCCAATAAGTCCACAGTTAGTTTGTCAGATCACTAATTCCTTCACTGACTTATGACTTAAACAGAATTTATTCAGAGCTGTTGGTCAGTGCATTTGAAAATTCACGCTATTTATTTAGTTGCATAAGTATGGAATGCACTTAAGAGCCAAATTTTACTCTATATTTTGAAAATATTTGCATTCAAAATTTATCAACTGCTTAGTCTTTACAATGAATGAAATGTGATACTAACAGCTTACATAGTCAATGTTTAGGCACATAAATAGTACAGATTCCATGACTTAAAAGGAAGAAAGAATGGTGTCAATTTTAAGGAAAAACATAAGCAGTTTTATTTTGACCTGTAAAGTGTTTTTTTTTCCCTCTGATTTATAGCATACACTCATACCCTACAGGAACACTTTTCAAAGCCTAGTGGTATGTGCTTGGCTTTGAAAACAGTGACAAAATTTGCCATGATCTCTATTTCCTGAAATACAGAAATGTTACTAGAAGTATTGTTAAGTAAAGGCAGGCACTGACAGTAACTTTACCGATTTAACGCAAATTTTAAGCACAGGACTAAGGACAAATAACATCACCAATTCAAACATTTATGCAAGAAACATGTCCCCATATCATGTTAAGAGCATGGGTTAGCTGCACTGGTTGGCACGTCTCTGTGGTACATCACCTCTCCTTATTCATGTTCTCTAACACTGATTACTCAATGCATTTTTGTTGCTTTACCTTTTAATTTAATTTTCCATATCTGTATTAAACTTTTGGATACATATCATTATGAAAGAACACCAATTATCTATCAGCTAGTACTAAATAACTTGCTACTTCTTTCCCCCTGGGTTGACAGCACAGATGGCTATCAACATACTTCAGACTTTTAAATATATTAATGGTAAACCCCTGACTAGCTGAAGGTCCTCTGGTACATTCAGTCACCCTCACTCAGGACTTTTTTGACTTCTCTCACCTTTCTGGGTGCTTCAGCCTGGCTACACAGCAACTTCCTCTACAACAGAGTTCTTAATTTAGAAATGGTGGGAAGCTCTTGATTTCAGGTAACTAGAACTGGATTTATCTTCCTCACTTAATTTGCCCTATTTACCCTATTCAGGTAAATACTACTACTACTTAATTTACCCTATTCAGCCCTCAAAGTGAGGGCTGAACCAGTCACGATTTAAATTTTACCACCCAACTTTAGGAGAGAGTAGTTTTATATATACAGGAGAAATAATTTGTTTTGGCAATGCCATTATAGCTTCTTCCCTCCTCTGTTTTGAACTCACTTTTCATATGCTCCAGGGTAGCGACCAAAGTGGAGTTTCCGGAAAGGCACAAACTTTCTGTCCATATGTTGCTTGAGTCTCAGAGGGCCATGCCAGAGATAATTACCACTCCTCTCATAGAAGACCACCAGGTGAATGGCATGAGATGCCAGTTTAAAAATGTAGTGCAAGGGAATTTCAATCCCTGATAGGTCATCCATCCCATCCAAGCGTGGGTCCTTGTTTATAATCTTTAGCCATTGGAACCCCATTTTCTCAGCAGTTCTGAAAAGGCCCACCTATAAGGGAGAGGGAGAGACAGGAAGAGCAATAGAAGCTAAAGATTAGATAAAGCAAAATTGAACACTAAATGTTTATTGTTAACTGACACTATCCTGCATTTAAATTTTCTACTCACACTTAGGTACAGTCACAAGTTTCTAAGACCTTAAAGACCAGCAACCACAAGCAATTCCAGCAAGTGTATTTCTGTATCTTAAATTCTGCCCCTCAAACTACTCAATTACTCAAAGTCAGACTCAAATCCCAGCTACAAAATAGAACAAAAAAGAAATATTGTAAGCCATTCTTGGACTAGGGTTGCTCCTTGCCACAGCACCCTCTTCTGCATCCTCAAACTGCTCTCTGCATTTTTTCTTGTGCCGAACTTGGTGTTCAGAAGTCCTTGAATAATGATACCATTAATACAAAAACAATTACTACAAAATCTTATTCTATGATGTACCTAAGTATTTGTGTAAATCTCAGCAAAGGCTAAACATTGCACTAGGAAACAGGTTTTCATATTTCCATAGAAAAAAAGGAACAAAATTCCAGCTGATAACAAAAGACCCAATCATCATGTGAAGGTCTTTTAAATTACCCCCCTTAAGCTGCTTTATACAGGTATATCAACTTCTTTTCTGGATGCTATGGGTATTACCATTGAGCCACAAAAGAACAGGGAGATGGATTTATATTAGTGTGCTACCACACAACCTTACTGTCAGTTTCTTTAATTTCTCTGCAGCTGTGGATAAAACAACTGCCTGACCAGTTTCAGATGCCACCACCCTTCACGTACGCAGGACTCCTTCAGTAAAATAGTCACAGACCCACAGACCATTTTAATGTCTACAGCTTTTTTCTTAAAGAGGAATTTTTAAAAAAAGAAGAAGAAAAAAAAATGTTTGTCACTGATATATTTCCAGGTGACACTTCACTGATGAAATAATCTTGGATTCCATTTTGTCCTTCGTCACATGCTACACCTCTATTTTTAACACACTTAAAAATCTCCAAACATCAAATAAAGAGATATTAATACACCAACAAAATAAAATGGCGTTAAGTACATGAATGCACTAAAAAAATAATAAAGCAGCAGATTATTATAATCTTTCCAGCCCTGTCAAATCATTACCTGCATTTCCTCCTTGATAGATCCCCAAACCTGAGATTTATTACAGCTGTATCTACATTACAGGCTTAAGGTTTTCCTTCTTAACAGACCCCTTTCTGCTTTCTTTCTGGCATGACCTCTTACTGCAAGTGTTTATGAATACTGCAGACAGCTTCCAAAAACTCTTAGTTATCTGTAAATTACTCTTACTGTATCCAGGCCCTTTTTACTTTTAAAAATAGTTTCATCTACCAATATCTTTATAAGATGTCCACAACAGTAATTCAGCAGCCTTTATACAAACACGAAAGCATTATGTCACAAAATCATAGATCAGTTGAAAGCATTAATATACACAAATGTGAACTGAAGGCACTTACTTCATGTTTCCATGTTTTGTCCAGTAGTGCAAATGTAGTAAAGTCTCTTGGAGCACAAAAGTACTTGCATTCTGGACTGGGGCCACCAGGAGAACTTCTGATCTGTTCAATGTCTTTATCAACCAGTCCCAGAATCAAAGGATCGATCAAATACACTGGTATATTGTGACTGGATATTAAGCCTAGGAACTTATTGACCACATGCTGTTTGACAGAAGATAAAATTAGACGTTAAAATACCATCTTTAAGCATACAAAGGCTAATACATGAGAACTCTTCAACAGAAGGAAAAAACCCAACCCACTGAGAGAAGGAAATCTTATCTCCCAATAGATTTTTTGAGTGTGTGTTTTACTTCCATGAAGAATCACAGAAATAGAATTTTTCTCTTTGAGAAGAACAGGATGTTCTCAGGCTTTCGAGGTCTCCAAAATTAAACTCAAGATTCTTTCCAGTTCTTGGCTGAATTGCAAGGCACTTGAATATCAGGGATTATAGGATGAGATGTGATGAATATGTGGGTGCTGAGGAAGCTGGCTGATGTTATTTCAAGGCTGCTCTGCAACATCTTGAAAGGCTGTGGTAATCCTGAGCTGTTTCTCAAGTCTAATAAAAAGGAAATCTCAAGCCACCTTCATAAAAGAGTATCTGGGGAACTGTGGTCCCCAGGAAGCCTCTAGAGAAAAGGCCCCTGGAAAGTCACATCCAAGTATATGAAAGACCAGGATGTGACTGGGAAAGCCAGTTGAAGGCAAGCTGCACCTTATCACACCAACTGCCTTTGAAGAAGTATGTGGGCAAGCTTGAGCAACGGACACTGTTCCCACCTTGACTTTAGCAAGGCACTTGACCCACTGCCAAGCAGTAGCCCCAGACCTCAGGCACAATGACTGCTGTGTAGGAAAAGCAATTCAGTGATACAGTAAGAAGGGAGTGGTTCACAGCCTTTGGATATGAGTGTAGCCAGGGCATTCAGGTATGGCCACACTGCATAAGCTGCAGCAAGAAAGCCCTGTGCCTGATGAGAGGATTTATCAACTTGACTCAATGCAGAATTTTAATCAAGTACATTTAAATGTCAAGTACATTTAAACGTGGCACACAGAAGATATACAGCAATCATAGCCAACCTGCTATTAAAAATGTAGCTAATGTATTTAACTGTAACAGCTAAATTTAATTACTTTAGGTAGTGTTCTAATATGAAAGAATATTTGCCTAGAACAGCACTATCAGACTTTCTGTCTATTACAACCTCAAGGACTGTAGAAGAGGGGCAATGAGGCAAAACAGTGGCCTACTGCCCAAGCTACCTGCCCACCAACATGACCCTGGGTTTCTAACTGAAACTGTAATGTCGCTCCTCTCCAGCTGCTCAGTCTGTTTCACCAGAATCCAAGGCCAACTTCCAACTCTGGCACAGGCCTTTGGCTTCAGAAAGACATAAAAACACGAATGAAGAGAGAACATGGATCAACGAAGTGAATTTAGGCAGCAGCACTACATGTGCTGCACCAGCAGAAGCCAGGCCAGCTTCCTGGTGATTTCAGCTACACAGAGATCTAAGTGTCAGTGATGTAGGAGCATTATCTCTGTAACTAACACCAGCAGACCAGACTGATTAACAGGTAGCAGGTCCATGCAAAAACATCTATTTTTTCCCCCATCAATCCTCCAGGGAAACAAATGCTTTTAGCTGAAACTTCCATAATCAGTAGAAAGACATGTTAATGATGTTAAGAAGCTAAGAGAAATATTCAAACACAGTATTTCACACCCATCATGCAGAGAATCTGAGGAACGCTTGGAGTGCAACAGGTCTAAGGCAGGACTGTAGAGCATTCTGCTTAGATACTAATGATCCTGCAACATCAACTTAGAGCTTAATGAGAACTCTGTCCACAGATTGGCAGACTGGAAAACCACTGCCACCATGTCCCCTAGCACCTTGTAGGTTCCATGAGGTGACACCTCCAAGAGTAGAGAGACATTCCTGGAGAGAGCAAGCAGATGTCCACAGAGATGTTGGTTTGGATTACTCTCAAGAACAGCTCTTAACTAGAGCACCTTTCTTCTTCCGCAGCAGAAACCAGGCATTTAAGTGGCTATTTTACTAGCTAGCAATATTACTGTAACTACATCTGAGTGAAAAGCAGCCAGCTCCCAGGGCATCACACTCTTTAACCATCTGTGCTGCTTTCCCACTGGGAGATCTGTTAACAAAAGACTTCTGTAGAAGTGTTTCCAAACAAATGCTAGTGACAAATATCATAACTGAGCTTCCAATTCCCTAAGGCCAACATGGTATTTTGGTTGCACTCAATCCTGCAAACCTGAAGCAATGAACCACAAAAAATATTACATTTCAGGTACATAATGGCACTCCTAACACTGCTCCTGAACACTGGAATACAACAACTGGTGAATGCTGAAATGTGGGATTTTCCTGCTTGTGAAGAGCTTCATGACCCAGTATAAGCAAGAAACACGAAACACTGGGCAGCAGGTTAAATAACTGGAGGGGTATTCTGTGACCTGAGTCCTGCAGCTGATTCTTTTACCAGGCTACTGACTGTCCAACAAGCTGCACGTCAAACAAACCCATCTTTTCAGTTCTCAGTCTGAGAGAACACACAAGTCTGGACTAAAACTCCTATATTAAAAAGAACATCTTTTCATTCTTAAATTTTTAACAACACTACTGAGGGCTGCTCAAGTAAAGGAATTTCTCAATTCCATTTTAAAATTCTCTTTTAAAACACTTCAGAACTTTAGCCATTGAAGAAAGTATCTTTCAGTCATCAATACTAGAAAATCTCCCATGAAGAGGAAAGAGAAGTGTACCCTGAGTTTGCAGTTCTGTACGAGTTTCTGAGACTTGCAGAAGACCTACATACACCAGTGACATTGTACATACCCATCTCGTGCTGTCTTGGCCTGAATGGCTTCCTCTGACCTTGGAAAAAACTGCTCCATTCTAAAAATATCAAAGAAGGGAATAGGTAAAGAGAAAGGAAAGAAGTTAAGTCTCAGTTCAATTCCTGCTTAGGGTTTATTAACAGGGTATTCAGGGTCATTTATCCAGTTAGCACTTTATAATTATGGCTGTGGTTGTGTCTTCAGTCACTCAACCACAGTACTGAACGTGAAATGATAAACAACTGCTCTGGCTCAGTCCATGTGGGAGGGCAGCACAAGCCTTGGGGACTTCCAGATATGCATGGATTGCATGATCAGGCCTCAAGTTTCTAAGTCAACATGCTGCTAAATGTAGAATAGGAAGATGACAAACACTGTTAGGCAAAAAGCACTGGGGAAAAGACAGCAGGACTGTGCCTCAGGCTTTCCCAATGTTATCCTAGAGAACTACATTTGAGACAGTTTATTCATATGATGAAGCCAAGGCAGTTGTTGGCTCAGCTCTTAGCATTTCAAAAGGATGAAGAATTTCTTATTCTCAGCCCTGTTGCTTACAACCTGAAACTATTAAGAAAAATGCCAAAGGTTTTGGTTCCACCTAGGATGAAGACTGCCTGCATTTGTTAAGAATATCCTCACCAAACGAAAGCAAACTTAGGAAACATGATACCTGTGTGGTTTTTCATGAAAATACAATTAATTCCTTTGTTTGATTTAAATGGCAACTGCAAATTATGAGCAAAGTGTCTAATTCATTTATCTATTTTTTCATTATGGAAAATCACACTCAATAGGTGGTATGAAAGTAGGATTTGATCTGTCATATCTAGAAAATCAGGAACATTGAATCGCAAAGCGCTGGGATACCTGTAGGAAAAGATGAGGTTTATTTAAAAGAAAAAGGCTGAAAAGCCTGCAGCTAATAAATGCTGCATTCCTTGTTTCTTCAGTAAAAACCCTAAGATAGGCCTTGGTTGGAGCTCACTGTCAATAAAAGACAGTTACCAGCAAGAGCAGGAAGGTGGCTCAAGCCTGCAGCTGAGAACCCCGAGCGGCCACCGCGTTTCAGAACATAAAGAAGGGAGTTTGGGGCTGACAACTGCGGTCTGACCGCTGCCGACCTGCTCGGGCTCCCCGGCCGCCTCCTGTCACCTCTGCGGGCCACACGAGGGACAGAAACGCTGCGCAAGGAGCCCAGGGCAGCCGGCGTGACACCGGGATGCTCCCGAGCGGCTGGGCAGGGCAGCTCCGCCTTACCTTCTGCGACAGGTAGAACTTGTAATAGTACAGCTGGAAGAGGAGGAAAACCAGGCTGGTCAGCGAAAGGAGCGCCAGAACCACGTTCTTATTGATCTTCTGCATTAGTCTTGCGGGCGATTTCCATCACCGGCTGGAAGCAGCGCCGCGTCGCT